AAAAAACTTTTGTTCAAATTAATATTTTTATTTTTTTGTTTATTAAGTGACCCAAGCACTACATGTATAATAATTTTTTTTGATTATTTTTTAGTACTAAAAGTAAAAAAAAAAAATAATTTAATAAAAAACTGTTTGGATAAATTCAAAATAGCTTATTTGTGAATCTGATTATAAGAACAATTTTTATACCAAAAATATTTACCTAAGTCAAGTAGTTTATTTTTTAGATTTTTTAATTTTTTAAATTCAATATTTTTGGTTAAATTAATTTGGAACGTAACAACTTAAAAACAAATAAGTATGATTTTGAAAATTTGTTGACATGAGTATATTTCTTAAATTATTTATTTATTATATAATATTAATAATTTTTGTGATACGTAGTTGAATTAGAATGTATATTTTTAATTTTTTTKATCAGGTCTTTCTATTACACCTGTTAATTTACAGTGAATTTTATTAGTTGCAGATAATACATTTTGTTCGAGTAAATATTTGGCCATTTGTGCTCCGATATTTTGGACAACTTTCGTCAATTAATAATTAAAATATTTCTTGTCAATTACTCAATTTTATGGAATAGATATTTCAAAATTTCAATCAAATAAACTAGTGTTTTATTCGAGGTTTTATCGAATAATGCTTTATTTAATAATAATGACACCAACATTGTTAAAAACTTTCAATGTGTACCTATGTTTGACATTAAACTAAGTTTTTTGAATAATAATAGTATGTTAATTATAATAARTAGGTATATATTGACGGAAGTACCTAATTTTCAGTTTTGGCGAGGTTTTTGGTAAATGTCAACCAAGAAGATACTTCAACTAAATATATATATATATATATAATTTTTTATAGGTATTATATACTCAGTACAAGAAATCGTATTTCATTTATTTATTACACTAAACGTATTATTTTTAATAATAAAGCAAATATTAATAGTTATTAACTATTTTTTTTTATGTATAAATACTATATAGGTTATACATAATTTTCAAATATTCCGAMACCACTTTTTTCAAAGCTTATAAAAGGTATTGGTACATTATGCAAGTAATAATCTCCCGAAATCGATATTGAATAGAAGATAGACATTTTAATATTTTATTTACTGTTAAATATAAAATAATCTTATAATTTTATTTTAATTATATTACCTATTATTAATAAACATGGTTTTTAATTTAAAATTAATTTTTTGAGTATTAGTGCACTTTTTTACCTTGAAAAATGATCTGGAAATGACTTTAAAAAACCATAGATCAATCATTTACTTGCATTTTTGAGAAATCATTTTTTTTTCGCATCTTCCTCTAATTTAAAAGAAACGATATAATCGTAGACACCATTACGTAATAATAGTTGAAAACTTAATAACTATTAGAGCCGACTTCACGAGATTGTCCACAAATATAATCATAATCGAGAAACCCATTTGACCCACTGATCATTATTGTTGCCGWATCGAATCCAGCCATACAGGTCGAGTGTTTTTTCGCATGAAAACCCGTTTTTAAAGTTTATAGAATCACACAATATGTCATAACAATTATCAAGATATATTATTGTTTAATATTATGATACCTACATTTAAATTGTGTTTTTGAGTAAGTGCGAATTAATTGAAAAATACAATGTTCTTCTTCTAACGATCAATATGGTCTTTGAATCTTACGGAAATGTTGTGGAGTGGAAAGTGAAATTGTTATCATTTGGTCGCAATATAACAAAATTAACATTTGAAGAAAAAATATTATGAATAAAATATCATTATAATTTATCCCGTAATCTATATTTGATAATTTTTAAGAATAAGAACTAAAAATTAATACGAATGGACATCAATTATGTTTTACCTAATACCGGGCCTAATACCTAATTATAAATGTTCATTATACAACGCCGTCGTTTCTAGACGATTCTGTACAGACTACACCGGCTACACGACGTCACGACATACTATATTCATAAAAATATTCATCTTATTTAGGTAAATCAAACAACCATCATTGCTGTTTTAATTTAACATTTGTACATAATATGAATTCGCGTTATGACAGGGACCATCGGGAGACATGTAGTGTATATAATATTATAAGGTATTTATTATAATATATTTATATGCATACAATTATAACACACCTATCTCTATAGACGAGATGAGTAAGATCTCTTTACCATACCTACATGTATACAAATTAGCCTTGCAGGTGACTTTTGATTTAACCGTATTATTTATTTACTTACTTAAAGAATATGAAAATGCTAATATCTAAATAAAACGTAAAAAACATAGATACTCGACTAACCGGATTGCGAATATGGATAATGTTCACCATTATGTTGTATGAAAAAAAAATATTTTACACGATGGTGAAAAAAACTCGTTTCATTATGTGATATTTTACATATTTTTGTTAAACAATTATGTGACCCCTTTCCGAAATAAAAAAATAAATTAGAAGCAGTTGAATTTTAATCTATCTCAGTAAAAGGTACCTATTTAATCCACGAATATAAGTGAACGGTAGAAGATGTATGTGTCAAGTACCGCTTTGAGTATAATCAAGGGGTATCATTATTAAACGCCAAACACGTAGATACAGGATTAAATAAATCCATGTTTAATCGATCTAGACTTAAAGAAAAATACATATTAATAAGTAGGGCCCGGATTTCAATACAAAGGGCATATTTTTTTGGATGATCTTAGAAAATGCTTTCCAAATACTTAAATAATTTCATTTAGCAAGTGTTTCAAAGTAAAAATTTTATTTTTCATATTTCGACGTTTCTTAACTTTTAGCATTTTTTAGTCATTTTATTGGTTTTTAATGCAT